CAAAGCCCTGATTGGACTTTACCCTTTGAAATAATGTGTGATGCCAGTGATAGGGCCATAGGAGCTGTGTTAGGACAGAAAAAAGGACAGGAATCCATTGTGATATCTTATGCTAGTAGCACCTTAGATTCTGCTCAGTGCAATTACACCACCACTGAAAAAGAGCTATATGCTGTGGTGTATGCACTTGAGAAGTTTAGGACTTATGTTTTAGGGGTCAAGGTCACTATTTTCACTGATCATGCTGCCATTAAATACTTGATGGCTAAGAGGGAATCTAAGCCTAGACTGATTAGGTGGATGCTTCTAATTCAAGAGTTCTTACTTGAGTTCAAAGATAGACCAGGCCAGCAGAATCAAGTAGCTGACCATCTTAGCAGAGTCTTATACTCTAACAACCAGACACCTTTCACTGGTTTATTCCCTGATGAGTCTCTATATGCAGTGAAAGTGTTGCCTTGGTATAGTGAGTTGGTTAACTATTTGGTTACTGGAGAATTTCCAGTAGGCATGCCACAAGCTGAGAAATGTAAACTCAAAGCTCAGTCAAGGTATTACTATTGGGAAAAACAATTTTTGTGGAGATTCTGTTCTGATTTACTCATTAGGAGATGTGTGGATTATCATGAAGTACCCTCTATCCTAAAATTTTGTCATACTTTAGAGTCTGGAGGACATTTGGGTATTAAAAGAACTGTTCATAAGATCCTTGAATCTGGTTTTTTCTGGCCCACCATGTCTAAGGACACTGCTGAATTTTGTAAAAACTGCCCTTGGTGTCAGCAAACAAGTTCTTTAACTAAAAGAGATCAAATGCCCTTAACCTCCATCATTGTTTGTGAGATTTTTGATATCTGGGGTATGGATTTTATGGGACCATTTCCTCCTTCAAATGGTTTTCAATACATCTTGGTTTTTGTTGATTATCTGTCTAAATGGATAGAGGCAGTGGCCACTAGGGATGATAACTCTCATACTGTGGTTAAAAAATTAAGAGACCCCTTGAATAGGTATGGCATACCTAAAGCATTGATTAGTGATAGGGGCACTCATTTCTGTAATAAGACCATGTCAGCTGTCTGTGCTAAGTATCATATTACACAAAGGGTTTCTACTGGATATCACCCTCAGTGTAATGGGCAGGCAGAAATTTCAAACAGAGAAATCAAGAGAGTCCTTGAAAAGGTAGTTAAGCCAGATAGGAAGGACTGGAGTTTGAGAATTGAAGATGCTCTGTGGGCAATTAGGACAGCCTTTAAGACACCCTTAGGCATGTCCCCTTATAGGGTAGTTTTTGGAAATGCCTGCCATCTTCCTGTTGAATTGGAACATAAGTCTTTCTGGGCTATTAAAGAGGTGAATCTTGAGTCTGACCTTAGTGGGCAGGAAAGGCTGTTGCAGTTAGTTGAATTAGAGCAACCTAGACTTGAAGCTTATGATAATTCAGTCATATACAAAGAAAAAACAAAAATATGGCATGATTCTCAGTTGAGAAAGAAAGAATTTCATACTGGTGACAAGGTACTTTTGTTTAACTCAAGACTGAAAATGTTTCCTGGAAAGCTCAAGTCTAAGTGGCTAGGTCCTTTTACAGTTGTCCATGTGTATGATTATGGTGCAGTTGACATTAGAAGTTGTGCTACTAACAAGTGTTTCAAAGTGAATGGGCACAGGTTAAAACTGTTTCATGAGGGACAACAAGAGGAGGTTGTGGACAGCTTGAGGTTGGAAGCTGTCTGAAGAACTTTGAGAAAGAGTCTGGCCAAGGACTTTAAACAGGGCAGCTACCTGGGAGGCAACCCAGTG